TTTTTTTTTCTTCTCTTTCTCCATCCCTCCCTCCGCCATGGACGTGAAGAGGCTGAAGGTGACCGAGCTTCGGGCCGAGCTTGGCCGCCGAGGCCTGGATTCCAGAGGCCTAAAGGTAGAATTGGCTCAGAGGCTGCAGGAAGCGTTGGATGCTGAGATGTTGGCGGCGGGACCCGAAGAGAGCGGAGGTGGAGGAGGAGGAGGAGGAGGAGGAGGGGGTGGAGGTGGAGGTGGGGGTGGAGGAAGCGCTGGAAGCTCCGGGCCGTGCGGAGGGGATGCGGCTGGGACGGCGGCGGTGGGTGAGGAGGAGGAAGAGGAAGAAGAAGAGGAAGAGGAGGAAGAAGAGGAGGATGAAGAAGCGCTGCTCGCCGAGGAAGAGCCGCAGGAAGCGGCTGCAGAAGCGGAGGCGGCTCCTGGAACGGCTGAAGAAGAGGAGGAGGAGGAAGAGGAGGAAGGAGGGGAGGAAGGAGCTGCCGAAGCCGGTAAAGCCGTGGTGGAAAAGGAAGAGGAAGCGGTGGGAGAACCGGAACAGCCGCAAACCGAAGGCCCCGAAGTGGGCGGGGGGGTGAACGGAGCTCAACCGGCGGCCGAACCCGAGGAGGGACCCAGCGGGGACGAAGCTGCGGCAGCCGCCGATACCGACCAGAAGGAGGAGGAGGAGGAGGAGGAGGAGGCGGCGCCGGCGGGTGAGAGAGCGGGACGGCACGGGGGTGGAGATGGGGGGAGGGGAAGGGGGGATGTGGAGTCTGGAATGGGGGGCTTTGGGGAGAGGGGGGGTAATGGGAGAGCTTTATGGGGCATCCAGAGCTTGTGTGGGGTATTGGGAGAACTCCATAGGGCATCCAGAGCCAGTGTGGGGTATGGGGAGGGCTGTATAGGGCATCCAGAGAGCAGTATGGAGCCCACAGACCCAATGTGGGGGCACCTGGAGAGCTCTGTAGACCCCCCCAGACCCAATGTTAGGGGACCCAGAGAGCCCTATAGACCCCCCCAGACCCAATGTTAGGGGGCCCAGAGAGCCCTATAG